AACGAGTTCCTTCAGTCTTCATCAAGTTTAGCCCTTTTCAGTGGGATCTAAGGTCCCAAACTCCAGATCCAAGCTCTCCTAGTGCAGATACCACGTAAAGTTGCAAACTTTACGTGCATGCAAGGTCCTTCAAAGTTATAACTTCAAAACTAGGCTTCTTACAAGGTTTTTGTGCATGGGAAGTGACTAAATTGCATAAAGGAAGCAACTTTATGGCATTTGAGACCTAAAGAGGTCCAGATCTAGAACCCTATCCTTGTGATAAGTCCAGATCTAAGTTTGACTCCATTTTGCACTAAGAATGGCCATTTACTTCCAAGAAAGGATATCTAAGTAACTATAGATCAAGATCAAGACTTTATACCTTAGGATGCTGGCAAAAATGATGTGGATCTGGATCTACTGTTCCTCTCCTATCTCCTTCTTCTTCAAGCTCTAAAGTTCTTCACAATTACCCCAAGGTTGCTCACAGTTGCTCTTTCTTTCACTCAAGAGGGTGCAAGGTCGATCTAGGGTTTTTCTCTGGCTGATAGGGTGCTAAGGGAGGCCACAAGAGGCAGGATATGCTCTTTAAATAAGGTGCAAACCCTAAAAATTAGGGTTTCTCTTTACAGCTCCTAGTCACCGAGTCGGCCTTTCGACTCGTCGAGTAGGTCTCGATCCCGCGTCAACCCATAATGCTCCTACTCGACTAGTTGAACTCCCAACTCTCCGAGTCCATGCACAAAACCTTAAACTTAAATAAATAATTTAAGTAATTCTTGGAACAGGTGTTACAAAATGCAATCAACTAAAGCATTCAAACGGATACAATATTCTTTTTTTGTAAAGTAGTTTGTTTCTCAAAAACATACATGATCGACTGTGCTTGGTTCATCAATTTTTAACATATTTGCACAACAATATTGTATGGATTTTCAACTTTGTGAAGATTTAGTCTTGATTTCCACGCTTTGAATCCAGATTTCACCAAATAATCCAATCCACATTGGTTTGATATATTGGATTTGAATAGATAACATCATAAGCAGCATGTGGCATTTTATTTTATACTATATTCTAACCAATATTATCATCAAACCAAGATAGATTAAATCTTCGAGTTTTACCTCCAAAATCACGTTGTGGAAAATCATGATTTTGAGGTTGACAAGATCCTTTTTGCAAGTATGCTCTTCTAATCTCATCCCTTTGATTCACATGATAATATTCCATACTTGGTCGTTCTATAAGATCAACATGTATTGGATTTAAATCAAATTTCATGTACTTATGTCAAAAATATAAAACTATCAACTTCACATTAAAAAACAAGTCTACTTACAAGATAAACCTCACTACACAGATCCTACACTACACTTTCCCCTCAATATTGTTCTATTCTTATATCCTAACAAAGATCAAGAACACAAAACCCTAACTAAGAGATAAAAAGCAAGAGAGCATCATATAGATAATCTGGAAAGTATATTATGAGGTCAAAATGAAAACCTAACTCTTTCCATCTATATATAGCGTAGATGAATACATTACGCCTCACTATACATATGATTACAATTGTATCATTTAAGAGGGATTAGAGATGTCAAAAAATCTCATGGGACCCCGAACCCGTGGGACCCCAACAGTGGCGGAGCTACATGGGGTATTGGGGGTACTACAACATCTCCAAAAAAAATGTTTTATATATATATAATAAATTATTTGTAAACATGATCTAATTTATTGTACCCCCAACTAAAATGATTGTATCATGTTTTGAATATTGACAGTGTTTTCTCCCCCGTATCAAAAATTTTGGCTCCGCCACTGGACCTGTATGGAGGATATTTGTTTAAAAAACCAGGGACGGGGGCGAGGGCGGGGACAAGGTTAACCCATGTTTTATATTCGGGGGCGGGGGCAGGGTGGGCAGTCCCCTCCCAAACCCCCAATGGGGTCCCCATTAATATTTTATTTATATTAATATATATTAATTATATAAATATAATAAATAATGACAATGATTTTTGAGCTTCCAAAATTAAACAAAATACCATGTTTTTAAGTTGTTAGTATAATGTTTGTGAGGTGTTATAATATATTTTTGTTTTTAACATGAAAAATTATGGTATATATAACTATTTTTTTACCAAAAAATAGTTTATTTTAATCCAAAAAACAGTTTCTTTATCCCAAAAAAGACAGCCCAAACGGGGGCGGGGGAACGGAGGAATTTCAGGGGTAGGAGCGGGGGATGCAACCCCCGCTCCGTTTGCCCCCGTTGACATCCCTAGTTGGTGGCAGCATGTGTGCAATGTCAAAGTTGGAACAGCCGAAGGTAAGTCAGAGTTTCAATTGGCGTTCCAATAGATTATAAAATACTGGCATCTAATAACGACATAAAAACACAAAAGATGTATAAGAAACATTAAAAATATATTTTTTGTTTACCTAAAAACATTGGTGTCCGAAAAAGTTTAGGATAATCATTTTGTAACACAAAAAAATCAATGTGGTGTCTGTTTGCCATCTCACTCGTTGTACGACGATAATTAAATTTATTCTATATTTTCTTCAAAAGTTAATCTTATATCCCTAAAAATCAACTTAACCGGTGAAACTTATTAAACCCAATCATAAGGATATAAATAGAACAAAAAAAGTTTGTTCCTTACATTAATAATGTTTATTTTTTTTTTTTTTTGAAAGGGACGAATATATAAAAATACAAAACCCCATGACTACTAGCTAGGAGTTGGATCGGGATGAAAAAACAAGGATTAGAGCATTGGATGTGGGCAACAAGATGCAACACCAAATTGTGCCACCTCACATGCGACATAAGCAAATGGTGTTATAACACCAAGTGGGGAAATGGTTTGCTTGTTATAACACCAACTTTTTGAAAATAAATATGTTTTATTTTTGATTTTTTTTTCCTTTCGTTTTTTTTTATCTTTTTTCGTTTTCTTTTCCTTTTTACGTTTTTTTAATCACTAAAATGAATATATTTTTATAAAACATAAAATTTTAAAAACCAAAAAAAAAAGACATAATATTTGAAATCTAAAATTACGATTACAATTAAAAAAACATAATTTTAAACCTAAAATCATAACTAAAATACCATTCAAATTACTCCTAAAACCACACAACAATACTGCTAATTCAACAATACTCCTAAAATACCAATCAAATTACTCTTAAAATCCTAATTAACCCAAATATTTCTTACTAATTTGTTCCTTCATCGTTTGTAGCACCGCTAGATCATCAGACGTCAAACCCTCCTTGCTCGTCCGAAGAATTGACAACTAATGTGTCATTAGTTCCCTCTATTTTTGCTCATGCTTCTCCCGTGCCTGCCTTTCTAGGAACTCCAAATGACGACGTTTCAAGTCATTTTTTTCTTTTATTAATAAAGTGTGCTCATCGATTTTCGCTCTCATTTCCGCCGCGTCTTTTGCTTTCGCTTCAACCTCCTCCGCATGCCTTGCAGCGCGCCTCGATTTGTCGCGTCCGGGCGGTCGTCTTAATGGGGATATCTCCTTGATATCATCCGGGATCTCATCGGTGTCGGCGTTTAGGTCGATGTGAGTCTGTGCGTCCGACACGTCGACCGGGCTCGAATTGCGAGACCTTTTGGATTAAACATCCGACGATGTAGGCGTTTTATTCAACTTTGGATCTGCCCTCAACAACTCCCATGATTTCTCAAACTCGAAAACATGTCCCATTTCGACCCGATATTGTTCTTTTGCAGATTTGAACAAATCGAAGTTGTTGGTTCCGCTTTGCTGTTGCGCCTCAAGCCGATTGTAAATATCGCTGAATTTGCTGCACTGCTTAGTTATTTGACTCCATTTGTTGCTCAACATGCCATTGTTGCGATACAGATTTTTCTTCAAAATAGCGTGAAACTTGTCGCGCACCGCCCCACAATAAGCTCCTTTCTTCATTCCATTTCCGCGGAGTTCGTCTTTTGAAGTAGTACACCAAGCCGCCGTCAAAGCATATTCCTCCTCCGGTGTCCACCATTGTGGAACGTCGTCATTTTCTGTTTCAACCGCTATCGATTTCCTTTTCGTTTTTTCTTTCCCTTTCCCTCTCCTACTACCTCCCGCTTCCACTTCAACCGATGGTTGTGTTGTAGGTGGTGGTTGGTTGGTTGTTTGTTGCATCGAAGCAAAAGTAAGGAAAAAATTTGTTGTAAATTTGGGTTTTGACCAAATAGATTTTGTTGAAGGTAAGGTGACTTGGGAAATTGCAGTGGTGGTGAAGTGGGATTGAAAGCGGCGCCTTGGTATGAGATTTGTGGTGACCATTGAGACAATAAAAGGTTGAAATAATTTTCATAACCCGAAAATCCGAGAGGCGGGGTTGTGTTTGGTTGTGTGTTTGGGTTTGATGGTGGAGGGGGGTGTTTGGGTTTTGCTCCATTTTTTTAAAATTTGAAGAAAGTATGTGTATAAGATAGAGAAAGGTTTAAAAAAATGGGTTAAAATTAGTATTTATATAGATAAAAAACTAAAAGTTTTTTTTTTTTTTTGTAATTTACGTTTTGACCGTTTGCAACTGTCCAATACACCCCAACATTCAAATTCATCGCGTTTCAATCGATCGTAACGACCACGAGTTCCGCCATAATGAGAAGCAACGAGAAGGGGGGCAGTGTTCCCCCGTTACCACGCCAGTATGGCGTGTCGACGTCACCCGTAAAGAGAAAAATTAGACCCATACCGTCTCGTCTTACAGATACAGATTACCAGATTTTGCAAATCCGACGTGAATGATTAGGCACCCACCCATATACAAAAAGTCAACAATTAGACGTGACCTCCCGTTAATGGTATTGGAATTTATCTATAGTTCCCATTTGATCACATTTGTTTCTGAAATCAATAAATAAATTAAAAAACACTTATTTTTGTTTGGTGGAACTTATTATTATTTGTTAATACTGACAAAACAGCATATGCATCACGAGGCAATTATTTATCTTCATTCACCTTGATTTTGGGGTCCAAAAACAATAAGAAAAGTCTAAAAAAGATTCTCTCACATTCACAATCACATGTGCTTACTAAGATAAGATATAGACCCCCATTCACTTCTGGATCTCAAAAACCCAACACTTTCGTTGAATACAATCAACCGATGAAGACACTCATTGTAGTCTTTCTTCTCCCATGCATTTTGCTTATCCTAGGTTACTATGTGTGTTTTTTTATGTGTTTTTGTAGGTGTATTTGCTCATTTTATCGATCTATCTTTAAAATATCTTTATTTTTAAAAAAAAAAAATTATGCAGTTCGTGCCCAAGTCAATGATGATAGCTTTGACCCATATGCAACGTTATTCAGTCCGTATACTAAACAAGAATGGCGATCTTACCAAGAAAAGAAGATCAATGAGGTAAATTAATCGTTCTAAATAATCTTAGAGGTTGTTACAAAATAGGGAATCAGAATCACACTATGTATTATTTGGATAGATTCTAGGATCGTGTTTTAAAAAACTTTCTGAAATCTGTAATTCATCCCTATTGTATGGGATACACGAATTCAGAAGTGGGATAATCCAATAACAAAATCAATCTAAATTGCAGGCCTAATTCAATTTGTGAAACACATTATACTTTTGCTTGATGTGTTGTTGTGAGAGACAAAGATTGAATGATCTATTTTCGTATGCGTATGTTCCAACCGAATTTTGGAACTTCAGTTAACCTTATATAGATGATAGAAATATCGGTTGACAGTTGGTTTATGGGGATTACATCCATTTTGGCGCCAAAAAGATGGTTGAAATATGGTTATTTAGACATAACCGAATCTGACATCATCATGATGTCCCAACCTATTTTTGGCGGGAATTTGCATGGATGGACTCTTTCCTGATATAGAAATCTGTTTAAGTTTCGGGGCTGCCCCTTGACCCACCGCCAGGGGCTCTGCCCTTTGGACCCCGCAAGGACACTGCCCCCGGACCCTTGTATTCCTGAGTTCACATTTGACATTCCGAGTGTGCACCCCGCACCTCCAATCTCAAATAGCAAACAGAACTCAACAACTTGTCTCAATAGCAATTCTAACTACACTAAAATATATTAATAACACTAAAATCACCAACAATTGTTTATTTGTGTATTGTAGCATCTTACTTTCATTTTCTTTTCGTTTATTTGTGTATTGTATTTTTTTTTTCTTATCAAGATGTTATGCATTGAAAAATCTAGCAAATTATAGCACTATAGTTTTTTTTTTTATTCAGACATTGTACTTTGAAAACTCTACCAAACTATAGCAGTGAAAATTGTTTTGTATTTAAATGATATTGCTATAATTTGACAGAATTTTCATAGCACAATGTTGTAATAGGAAGAAATTAAAGTATGATGTTATAATAAACAAACCAATAGAGTGTATATTAAGGCATTGTACTTTTAATATTTTTCTTATTAGAACATTATACTTTAAAAATTCCAAATTTCACCCATATATTTGAACGACATTCCTATAATTTGGAAGATTTTTCAAAAATAACAATGTACATTGCAATTCTTGCTTCTAACCTGTTATAAATCTACGGATTCCTGTTATTAGGGACGAAAAACAGAGTTAACTTTCAAGGTAACTTATGCAAATGGAACAAAAGTCAAAGGGGCAAAACTGTACATAAAGCAACTCACCTCCGATTTCCACTGGGGTTGTGGAATGACTCATAGAATACTCAACAACACTGCTTACAAAAAAATGGTTTGCTTCAAGATTCACAGCTGCAGATTTCCATAATGAGCTCAAATGGTATTGGACTGAAGCAACTCAGGGACAAGAAAACTACGCAGATCCAGACGCCATGATGAAATTTGCAGATGAACACGGGATAATCGTGAGAGGGCATACGATCTTATGGGACGATGTGAAATACAACCAAAAATGGGTGAAGAAATTATCACCTGAACAATTGTTAGAAGCAGCAAACAGAAGAGTTGATTCGGTGGTGAATCGATATAAAGGAAGGTTGATTGGTTGGGATGTGATGAACGAGAATCTGCATCATAACTTCTTCGAGAAGAGACTCGGGAAGAACGCGTCGTCGATGTTTTTCAATCGAGTTCATAAAATTGATCCGAATGCGGTTTTGTTCATGAATGAATTTAACACCACTGAACATGTGAACGATGAATACGCTCCTCCTGGGAAATACTTGAGAAGGATGAAGAAGATTCAGTCGTTTCCAGGGAATAGCGAGATCAAAATGGGGATAGGGTTGGAATCGCATTATGGGGCTGAGCCGATTGATTTTCATTTTGTGAGAAGTTCGCTTGACTCGTTGAGTCAAACGGATTTACCGATATGGTTGACTGAATTGGATGTTAAAATGGATCCAAACCTTAAAAATTCGAGTGGATTACAGGTGATTTATCTGGAGGAGATACTTCGGGAGTCGTTTTCACATGAAGCTGTGAAGGCGATGATTATATGGACAGGTGCGTCGATTGATGGATGTGATGTGATGTGTATGGCTGATGAGAATTTGGTGAATACGCCAATTGGGGATTTGATTGATGGGTTAATGGAAGAATGGAGAACTGGGGAGATTGAAGCTATGGCGGATTTTAATGGAAGTTGTCAAGTTTCGGTGTTTAATGGTGGGTATGAAGTAAAGGTGGTGGATCCTGTGAGTAATGCTTCTAGTTGTGTGAGTTTGAAGGTGGATAGCATTCCGGATAAAATGGTTCATGTTCAAATTATGGGCTAATTGAGACTAGATTTAATAATGATATTTAATTTGTTGCTTTGGTTTTCAATTTTGGAGCATTTTTTGTGACAAGAATGTGTCAAAACTTGTATAAGATTATCTTGATTTGAATGAGATGGATGAATTTCACACATTAGGTATTATTTGATAGCATAATTACATTTAACAAAACTCAAATTATATATTTTTACATATTTTATCATTCCCTAGTATTTCTATATGTAATTTCTTATTAAACAACAAGATAAAATTTAGAACTAAAACACATATAATCCTAACAATCAAACAAAAGTAATTTCAAACTTTACCATCTTCATTTTGAAGATCAACAAAAAATAGAGAAAACAAAACAAGATGAAAAAGGCATAAAGCATGATATTCTTAATGGTGATGGAATAATAATACATGACAAAATTTATATACTTATACATGTCTATACTAACCAACAACCGAATTGAACTAACTACAAAACCAACACTTGACACGTGGCAGTTTATGTAGTTAAAGATGAAGATCTTCAATGTCGGTTAATGTAGGAGATTTCTTGTTGGGCAAATTAATGACAAGCTGTCCACATGCACCACTTATATCTTGTCCCATTTGCTTTCTAACAGTAGTTCGTATATTATAACTACTCCTTAAAATTGTTTGAAACTTTGTCACTTTTTCATCTCCACTAGTCCCAAATTTACTAAGTGTCCCAATTGGATTAAAAGGTATCAAATTTATCACCTACAAATTACAAAACAATAAGTTCAAACTTGAAGTTGTCAAAGAGTAATAACATATAGAGTATATTACATTTATGGTCCCTGAATATAGCTGAGTTTTCAATTTTGGTCCTTACTTTTTTTTTTAACCTTTTTGGTCCAAGACTATATTTTTGGGACCAAAATTAGTCATTTTACTCAAAACTGTAAACCCAAAACGTTACAAGAAACCTCAAATAAGGACAGAGATAGCAAGAGAAACTTTTTGAGACCAAAATTACATTTTTGTCCCCTAAGTATATCTGATTTTTGCAATTTTGGTCCCAAAAAGTTGTGTTGCACTTTTCACCCTTATTTGATGTTCTTGTAACATTTTAGTACATTTTTCTAGTAAAATGACTATTTTTGGGCCTTGAGTACATCTGATTTTCACAATTTTGGTTCCGAAAATATAGTTATTTTGCCTGAAACAGGGACCATAATGTTCAGTAAGAACCAAAATTGCAAGAGAAAACGTTTTTGGGACCAAAATTGTAATTTACTCAAAAAACAAATTTGAATCTCACCACTTCAAATGTGTCAAGCAATCTACCAAGCTGGTGGGCATGCTGCTCCTCATCATTCACACCATCCAGCATTATGTATTCAATGAAAATCTTTTGCTGACTATAAAGTATATACCAGAAGGGTATTTTAGTAATTTTACACTATGAGGAAATTAAAAAAAGAAGCAAAAAAAAGAGATACCTTTTCTTTTGATATTCTGCTAGAGAATTCATTAGTTTCTCTAAAGGAAAAGCCCGAGCTGCAGGCATTATCTGACACCTAATATCTTGAACTGGTGCATGAAGAGACACTGCTAGGTTTATATTTTGTAAGTCACCATGAAGCTTGTTTATTGCATGAATTATTCCAACCTACAAGAAATTATGAGAATCATAGATATGAATCAAGAAATGTTCTTAAAAAGATTATATTGAGGATGTAAAATGGAGCAAACAAAACAAACCGTTGAGACAGTAATTTTCTTGGGTGAGAGCTGAAAAGGGAATGCTGTCATTACTCGAATAGCTTCAACCAAAGCATTGTAGTTGTTTAATGGCTCTCCCATTCCCTGAATGGTGATAATATCAGTTGTAGTGACATAAATTTCAAGGAAAACAAGTTTTTTTTGAGGTATTTACTATTTACCATGAAAACAACATTGCGAATGGGTGATAATCGAGAAGCATGTACTAATTGTTCTACAATCTCTCCTGTTGAGAGGTTGCTCTTGAATCCCATACTTCCAGTTGCACAGAATGTGCAGCCCATTTTGCATCCAACCTGTTGAAGAGAATGATTTGTGTTGAAGAATCAAGAAATTAAATTTATTACAGATAAATATACAGCAAAATGTCGCTTGAATCTATCAAATGAAGAACTCAAATCAGGAAAGAATTTCAGTTTGGAAGGAATGGATGGGGTAATGGTTTACCTGTGAGGATATGCATAAGGTAGATCTCGGACCACCGGGACGAGGCTTGCCTCCATATTTCCCTAAACGAGTATCGTATCTCATAATCACAGCTTCTACCGATGCTCCATTCTAGAAAGAACAAAAATGGGAAAGAAAAATGGTGTGAAACCAATGAAACGAGATTATTTATCGCATATTTACACGGTTTAAGATGTACAAACGCGGAATGAGGGAACGCACCTGCAACTTAATGAGGAGCTTGGTGGTGACTTGATCAATGGAGTCGAGAACGGAGTCGACGACAGAAGTGCAGGGTTTGAACTTGGAAGAAAGTAACGAGTAAGCTGCGGAAGGCAATGAAGGAATCTCTCGCCATTCACAATTAGGATTCTGTACGACATATCTACAGACGTAATTAATTAACCTAACCAATATATTAACCAAAAAAGATGAACAAAATCCAGATTTCGTAGGGAAGATGAGAATTTACTTCCAAATTGAAGGGATGAACTGAGTATTGATTCCAGCTTGATCGAATTCAGTTCTAATGAAGGCAGCATCGAACACAGATCGAAACGTCATAGCGAACCTCTTTCTGATTAGAATCAATTCAAGTTTGTTTACAATTTAGGGTTCATGACGGACGTATCAGGACCAGGAAAACTGCCCCTTTAACTTTGCTATTAAACACTAAACTTTTATGTTTTCATATAAGACCACCACTCTTTGATTTTATTCCAATTCGACCTCTATAGTTACATCTTGTTGCATTCAGAAAAATGAGAAGGAAAATTTGAGTTTTTATGTTTTGTTAGAAAGAAGATGTAACTATACAAGAAGTTGTAAGTACAATTCGATTTCTTTAACTCTATGTGCCACGTAACATTCTTATGCCAAAATTAAGCTTTGATAATATAATTTATTTTAGAGAAATTAGACACTTTTTGATCAAATATTTCTTATTTAAATGTAAGAAACCCGATATTGTTAAGAGCATGATGTCATGCTCTGTTGAAGTCATTGAAAGCCATAAGTAGCTCAATAACGTGGTAAGGCATAGTTGGAACAAATATTTTAAAAACACTTGACCACTTAGAGCATCTCCAACCCACTTCCATTCTCCATTTTTTCTCTTATTTCTTCCCTCAATCTTATCCAACCGTCCCCATTTATTCCCCCATTTTGGGGGATGTGAATAGTATTACACCAAATATGGTGTTATACTATTCATTTCTCCCAAAATTGTGATGAACTTTGCGTTGTCGGTTTTAGTCCCTCTGTTTATATATTTATACATTTCTAGTTCATTTCTACCTACTAATTATAATTTAAATATAATATTTAATACTTATAATATTTTGTTACATATTAAATTATAGACTAAACTGCACAAATGGTCCCTGTGGTTTGTTCAAAATTGCCACTTTGGTCAAAAAAGTTTAGACTAGCATCACAGGTCCAAAGTTTTCATTTTGTTGCGAGTTCGGTCCAAAGCACTTTAAAAATTCTTCAAATGACGGATTTGCCCCTTTCTATTTGTTTTTTCCTTTTCTTTTTTCCTTTATTATTATTTTATTATTTAATTACAAAGGGTCCCTCTCTCTCTCTCTCTCTCTCTCTCTCTCTCTCTCTCCTTGATCGTGTTCTTCCTCAAAAACATATATAGAATCTGATGAATGATTATTTTGCTCCTAAGAGAGAACATACATACACAATCAAGAACGTATATGTATACACACATTAACACATATAATTGAGAACATACAATCCCTTCCCCTTGTTCTTCCTCCTTGCAACCCAAACCCACCAACAACGATTTCATTACCGTTCTCCTTCTTTTTTCTGAATCCATGGAAGAATAGAGATATGGAAAAAGATGAAGCTAGTGAGGAACAAGGTCTGAGAATACCTGATTGAGGCAAGTACTGTTCATCGTCTTCTACAATAAACCCCCTTGTAGAAACCCTTTGATTTTTCATCCAATTTAGCACTTTGTTGGTTGAATCGACTTGATTCACGTCAGCAATGGGGTACCTCTGTTCGTTGGCGGCTAGTGGGTTTGAGGAATCCACTCTGAAATCTGCAAAGAAACGACAGATCCTTCCGATTGTAAAATCGGTTCTCAATCGAACTACCATTTCCACTTCTCTCCCAGTTCTATCTATAAGAAAATGTAGATAGAATGGTGCACCGATTCAATTTTCTTAATTTCCTAAAATTGAGAGAGAAAGGGGGTAGGGGGAGATTGAGATCAAGATCAAAGTTCTAAGTTCTGGTAAGCTTGATAATCATAATCTTTGCCTGATTGTCTTCACATCAAACTCACTCACACACACATACTTGAGTCGCAGGTTTTGGGTGTACCCTATGAGTTTGAGAAAATTGGTTTTAATTTTTGATGCAGAATCGATTTGTCTTGTGGGTTCAACCCAATGACATGATATTGAAGTGTGTGAGTTAATCTATGTTGTATGAATCGAGTGTTTGACAAACACAATTATTATCTTCTTTCTCATGTGAAGATCGTTCTTGCTGCATTTTCTTATACAAAGTATGGTTGATGCCCACCAAATGTTTGATCTTTTGTCTGAATGATCTTTCCATGCTGCAACTTGTAGTTCTTAGTTATATTCATTAATTTTCAGTAATTTGGCTTCACAAATTTCTGTTTAAGCTATCATTTGGCATTTAAAATTCTTGAAGCAAGTCGTTAAAGTCCCTAAATAAAAAACGGGTGGTGGTGCCGTGAGAATGGATTCTATAGAGAGAGAGAGAGAAGGTGGGACCCTTTGTAATTAAATAATAAAATAATAATAAAGGAAAAAAAAGGAAAAAACAAATAGAAAGGGGCAAATCCGTCATTTGAAGAATTTTTAAAGTGCTTTGGACCGAACTCGCAACAAAATGAAAACTTTGGACCTGTGGTGCTAGTCCAAACTTTTTTGGACCAAAGTGACAATTTTGAGCAAACAACAGGGCCCATTTGTGCAGTTTAGTCTAAATTATATTAATTAATTATAAATATAAACTTTGTTTTTTGTTCGTCAAATTGAAATTTTAAAAAACGATAAAGAAGCACACTTCAGTCTACGAGATGCGTTAGTTGATCATTTGTGGGAAATTTATTCCAACGCATAAATATGTTATCTATGCATGTATAATATTTATTTAAAAGTGTGTATGTGTAATATTTTTATAAATGCATTTATAATATTTATTTATAAGTGTATTATAAATATAATCTTGTTTACTTCATATTAATGTAATGAAAAAAATATAGATTATATATTTGTTAAAACTAAATTAGTAGAGGAGTGTGTTTGACAATCTATGTAAGTTGGAATAATGGAATATACTAGGAACATACTTTTTGGGGTAAAAAATGGGGCAAAAATGGAGTAGAGTTGGAGATGAAACACTATTTATCCCATCTTTTACTCCATATTTGGGGGAAAAATGGAAGTGGGTTGGAGATGGTCTTAGGGACATATGTCGGCAAATCGAAACCTAAGTAAGGAAATAGATAAATTTTGACTTAAAGGTTGAAAGGACCCGGTAAGGCTTCTTACATGTTTTAAACTTTGTTGTAATATGATGAGACTGTATGTTTTAAAATAATCGATATCATTGTTAGAGTAATTTGTTAAAAGTTCAAAAAAAGGGGCAAATGGGTAAAAGTGTCCAAGAGGGTTAATAAACTCTAATGATGTACTTAATATGAACCATTAGAATGGATTGCAATTATGAAAAAATGACCATGGTGATATGGTCATCAAAGAAATTGAAGAGCAATGGGATGAAATCCTAATGATATGGCACACGATATAATTCCGATGACGGAATTCTTTTAAGGAGTAGATAACTGTAACATCCTAAAATTTAAGACTAGGTTCTTAAATTAATTAAGTAATTAAATAAATGATTATTTACATAATTAAACCATTTAAATGATAATCATATCATTAGTCGATATGAAGCTTGGAAAGTTAAAGGTTAAAATGTTAACATTTCAAAGTTAAGGGACCAAAAGTGTCAATTTAATGCATTAAGTTGTTGGGACATCGGCAACCACGGCGTGGTCCTAGGTAACCACGACGTGGTGGTTGGGATTTTCCCACCTGTTGGGACGCATGTGGACCACGACGTGGCCAAGAAAGACCACGTCGTGGCGATCGATTGAAGTCAACATTGACTGTTGACTTTGACCGTTGACCTTGAGGGTTGACTTTGGGCTTGTGGTTTTTGATATCTTAGTAGATAGATTAAGGTCTTGTCTTGTGTGATTATCTAGGTGACATCTAGCATCTGTTGTGGGATTTTAAGAGCATGTTGACTTTTGAGCTGCTTTACGAGGTGAGTTTCCTTCACTATACTCGTGGGTCGAAGACACCAATGTCGGCCCACTAGATTATGTTGGTAGGATAATAATTGTCTTCGTGACAATTTCCTGTATTGCTTGCATGTGTTTGTTGTCTCTTTGACTCTTACTGATATGATTATAAGCTAGCTATAGGGGTGAAATAGACCCGATACCGGTTGAAAGAGACCGAAGGGGTTGAAATACACCTAGTATCGGTTGAAAGAAGCCGATGGGGGTGAAATAGACCCAGTACCAGTTGAAATAGACAGAAGGGGTTGAAATATACCCAATACCAGTTGAAAGAGATGGAAGGGGGTGAAATAGACTCGGTTATGTTTTGACTGTTATGTATGTATGGTATGGGGTATTTTGGGGGAGCTCACTAAGCTTTGTGCTTACAGTTTTCAGTTTATGTTTCAGGTACTTCCAACTCGAAAGGGAAGGGCCCGACTTGATCGCACCGCATCCGCCCATATTTTCAGCATTATGTGATTTTGTGATTTGTACTCTAATATTATTTCACTATGATACACTTTGGTTGTTTTGACATGATTACTGGATGTTTTGAATTGAATTAAAAATGAAATTTTAGTCTGAAAATTTTAGGATGTTACATTTTTTCTATGCGTTCGGACGCCTGACGTCCACATACAAATGTCTGGCGTTTGTATGGGAACCTGCATCCAACACATCAAACGCCAACGCCTGGCGTTCGTATCCTTACGCCCGACGTTTGGGACCAAATTTGCAAACATATAAATGATCAAATGCCAAAGACAAAATACCTGGAAACTGGCGTTAAATTTCTGGATAAAGAATTCCCCACAATATGAAACTTGGTAGCATATAATGTTATGTTCAATTGCATCCCCTTTATTTTGTTTATATATTATGGTTTTTTTTCTTCTTTCTGTTTATATTATGGGTAAGGTTATGTGGTTGTAACTTCATTTGGATGAATCTGGCAGCATGGTGCAGATATGAATGCAGTGGATCTTAGTGGTCAAACAACATTACATTGGAGTGTTGTTACGGGAGCCATTAAGGTTGCAGATCTTTTGCTTGAAGAATGTGCTTGCATTAATGCAACTTATGTATATGGATATCAAGTTGGTATTTGATTTGCACATACTTTTATCTAATTTTACTAAAGAGTCAACAATTGGCATACGAATTCATTTCAGTTTCTGTGACATCCCCAAATTTACAGTCATTTTGAAACTTTTTATTTATGCTTATTTAAATCAGAGTTCGTTTATAAATGCAGAATTAGCCCCATAAAAGTA